TAATATTATAAATTTCATTAATAAAATTTCAGAAGTATGCTACTAAAATAGATTATTCAACCGTAGTGTCTCAGTCTAAATAAAAAGCACAAATGCAAATAATTTCTGCAGGCATGTATAACTAACTTTTGTTCTGTTTTGGTACTGGGGGTTTAACCTAGATGCTTGCAGATACATATTAGGCAAACACTTTATCACTTATGGTGACAACTAATTTAATAAAATCAGCAGTGTAACTTGTATTAGGATGTAATTTATTTATTTACTTATTGTTTAACCCATGTGACAGTCAATCACAACTAGATTAAAAGAGCATGGTGTCTAGTTGTACAGTTATAGATAGGTTCAAATGAAAAGAGCAAGTCTTCAAGGCTTACTCTGTAGGTATAATGAGTAGGACCTTTTAAATATCAAATAGGGTTATAGTCAGCACTCCATGTGCATGTGTGAGTTCCAGATCAGTGGATTCAGCCCACCTAATATTGAAAGTATTCAGAAAAAAAATTGCATCTCTAGTAAACCTGTACAGATTTTTTTCTATTTGTTAACCCCTAAACAATACAGTATAGAAACTAATTAAATAGCATTTATTAGAGTACTAGGTATTATATCTAATCTAGAGATGATTTAAAGTATATGGGAGGATATGCATAGGTTGTACACAGATGTGCCATTCTGTACAAGGCACTTGAGTATCCATAGGTTTTGCTATCTGCAGGGATACTGGAACCAATCTCCTATGGATACTAAGGGAAGACTATACAGTTATGCTTGCTCTGTCTTTCCTCATCCTCAATTCTTACTTCATATAGGCAACCACCAGCAGCTTACTTAACTGTCTGCTGGTGTGTATTTGTATATTTTACACAGCTATTGCACCCATTTTTTGATTGATCAATTTTAGACATTACCAGACTACTATGAAAGATATAGTTCAGAAATGTTATCACCAGCACCCATACTTCCCATCTTTCTGCATCCAAAGACAAGTTACATTGCTGATTTTACTAAGTTAGTTGTCACCATAAGTGATAGAGTGTTTGCCTAGTACATATCTGCAAACATCTAGGTTAAACCCCTGGTACCAAAAAAGAAAGCAAGTTAGCTATACACCTGTGAAAGTTTTTTGTGTTTGTGCTTTTTATTTAGCCTGAGAGATTAGGTTGAATAATCTATTTTAGTAGCATACTTCTGAAATTTTATTAATAAGTGAGGAAATTTACAATTGTTAGTGATGCTGATGATAATGATAAACTCATTTATTGGATGCTTACTACATGCCAGGTGGCAAAATTTTACACTTGTTAACTCATTTTAATGATGATTTGTTTTGTATTCTCTTTCAGAAGAATCTTGGCCAGTTCTTAAGCAGACCAGAAGGCAACATTAAAGACTTGTGAGTTACGTCTCATCTTTCTCTCTAAGGAAAATTCAGAAAACCTAGGAAACTGGGATGTATTTCCTCTGAGCATTTGACTGACATTGCAGCAACATACACTGATTTCAGGACTACTATGTATGGAAGTCAGTTTAAGAGACTTTAAAACACAATTTATATGTATATTTAATTGTGTAAGAAAAGACACAATTATATAAACAGAATGCTGTATTTTTATCCTTTTATATAATCACTGCATCTTAGAATAATCAATGCGAGAAAAGTCTTCTATCATAAATTCAACTTCATTACCATACCTGAGAATTAATATTGAAAAGAAACCGTATGACATCAGTGAATATTGGAAAGTTGTCATCCTTATCACATCTCCCTAGATACAAGGGGAACCTAGGAGAAAGTCCCTGTGTATGACAAAAGTGTTGGAATGTCTTCAGTCTGAATCAGATCTTATTCAGCATGATGAAATTCATACTGGAAAGCAACTTTATGAATGTAAGGAGTGTAGAGGAACTTTTAGCCTGAAGCAAAACTTCATAGAGCATAAGAAAATGCATACTGGAGAGAAATCACATGAATGTACTGAATGTGATAAAGTGTTCTCTCAGGTCTCATCACTTACTCTACATTTGCGAAGTCATACAGGGAAGAAATCGTATGAATGTAATAAATGTGGAAAAGCCTTCAGCCAAAAGGGAAATTTCCTTTCTCATCAGAAATACGATAGTGGAGAAAAACCTTCTGAATATGGGAAAGCTTCTATTCAAATGGCAACCCTCATCAGGCATCAGAGAAATCATACAGGAAACAAACCATATGCATGTAAGGAATGTGGGAAAGCTTTTAACAGCAAATCTTACCTGAGTGAGCATGAGAAAATTCACACTGGAGAGAAACCATTTGAATGTAATCAGTGTGGAAGAGCCTTCAGCCAGAAGCAACACCTCATTAAACATCAGAATATCCATACTGGAAAGAAACCCTTTAAATGTAATGAGTGTGAAAAAGCCTTTAGCCAGAAAGAAAACCTCATTAGCCATCAAAGAATCCATACAGGAGAGAAACCTTATGAATGTAAAGGGTGTGGAAAAGCTTTCATTCAGAAGTCAGGCCTCATTAGACATGAAAGAAGTCACACCGGAGAGAAACCCTACACATGTAAGGAGTGTGGAAAAGCCTTCAGTGGTAAATCAAATCTCAGTGAGCATGAGAAAATTCATATTGGTGAGAAACCCTATAAATGTAATGAATGTGGAACAATCTTCAGGCAGAAGCAATACCTCATTAAACATCACAATATTCATACAGGGGAGAAACCCTATGAATGTAATAAATGTGGAAAAGCCTTTTCACGGATCACATCACTCATTGTACATGTGAGAATCCATACAGGTGATAAACCTTATGAATGTAAAATATGTGGGAAAGCCTTCTGTCAAAGCTCATCTCTTACTGTGCACATGAGAAGCCATACAGGTGAGAAACCCTATGGTTGTAATGAGTGTGGGAAAGCCTTTTCTCAGTTCTCAACTCTTGGTCTACATATGAGAATCCATACTGGTGAAAAACCTTATCAGTGTAGCGAATGTGGGAAAGCTTTCAGCCAGAAGTCACATTACATTAGACACCAGAGAATTCATACTCATTAAAGTTCTGTTAGGAAAATGCATTCTATTAGGTCTATTTAGGAAATTCTTCAGCAGAATTTACACTTAATAATATTCAAGTTTTGTTTTATATTAGACATAAATGTGGGAAATTCCCATTATTTAATAAGTATCAGAGTATAATGAAAGTCTGTAACCCTAAAACTCCCACCATAAACATTATTAATACTATACTTTAAGGCTAGTTAGGATCTAGTAATGGACAGTTAGGATCTAGCAATGGACATTAATTAGCATGGTCCTGGAAGGCCTACTAGGTGCATTAAGACTAGGAGAGATACAAGGATTTTGAAGTAAGACAAAATTACTTTCTTGTTTTGCTACATACAGAGTTTGTAAAACTATACTCATCAAGATAATTGTTTTGCAGTTGTAGAAAAATGAAATTAGGATACACTACTGAAATGCCTGAATTTATGGGAAATTGGTAATCAGTGGAGGTGGTATCTCAGTAGGAAAATCATGGATGACAAAAAAAAATGGTCTCAGGGTAATTGATTTTTCATATGGTAAAATACTAGACCTCTGCCATAATTGTACATTAAAATATTTATTTATTATAAACTCTAAATGTACCGAAGCCTAGAATGCAAAAATCAAAACTTAATATAAGAATGTTATTTCTTATATTCATAGGGAAATGTTTATAGGGGAATGTTTTTAATCTTGGGACAGGAGAAAATTTCTAAACCAAACTCTAGAATGTTCAGCAATTCCTTTTTTGTTTTTGGTACTGGGAATTAATCCCAGTACCTTTGCAGTAACATACATCTCCAACTCATTTTTTGAGACAGGGTCTCATTAAATTGTCCAGGTGAGGCTTGAATTTATAATTCTCCGACTTCAGCCTCCCAAATACTGAGACTACAGGCATGCAACACTAGTTTAGCAATTACTCTTGGGTCTATCTATTTATATCTATTTTGGTCAATTCATAGATAAATGGTATACCCCAAAATCTGATACATCTATAGAGAGAGTCTGTTCATTCCAGTATGAATTATGGTAGCCAAAAATTGGACACAAGTGTTTGTGAAATAGATGACTAAAATGTGATGATACAGTCATACTACACAATAGTCTTTTAGCAGTTAAGTACAAATTAAACCTATATGTATTAACAGTAAAAGAGGAAAAAATCATGTGGAAAGAAGAAAACTGAAGTGATGAATACATTGTAAATGATACCTGTATACATTTTCAGTGAAATCAACAGTAACCAACCCATGTACTAAGACTTGAGAAACCCCTTTTTATATAAAACTACAAAGAATGAATTGGATTGATACACACTCAGTTCCTAAAAGTGGTTACTTCTAACAAGAAGGCAAGACAAAAGGAAATATGACCAAGCATGGTAGTGAAAGGATACTTCAGTTTTGTGTCTAAGTATTTATTTTCATTAAAAACAAAGATTCCAATTGAATGTAACAAAATATTAGTTAATTTTGGGTTTTGATAATGTACATATTTATTCTTTTGTGACTGACATTTTTTTAAAATGATAGAGGTGTGGCGAAGGTGTACACGACATCATTTTACAGTAGTCCCCCTTACCTGGGGGATACATTCCCAGGCCCCCAGTGGATGCCTAAAACCCTAGATAGTACTTAATCATATATATGTTAAGTATGTGTGTGTGTGTTTGTTTGGCACTATTGGGAACTGAACCCATAACTTCACACTGAGCTACATTCTCAGCCCTTTTTATTTTTTATTTTGAGACAGGGTCTCATGCTGCCTCAGCTGGCCTTGAACTTAGGATCTTTCTGCTTCAGCCTCCTGAGTAGCTGGGGTTACAAGCATGCACCACCATGCCCAGCTCTCTCTGTTTTTCCTATATATACACACATACATATATACACTTGTGATAAAGTTTAGTTTGTAAGAGATTGACAATAAGTTACAATAGAGTAGCAATCTCATCATATGATTTTTTATTTCCTTCTATGATGAAGAACTTTTACCCTTTTTTTGAGACTGGGTCTCACTATATAGTGCAGGCTAACCTTGAATTCACTTATGTAGCCCAGGCTGGGCTTGAACATGGCAGTCCTCCTGCCTCAGCCTCCCAGATGTTGGGATTACAGGCATGTGCCTCCATGCCTGGCTGAACTTTTACTTTTTAATTAAGGAAAATACTTTAAACCTTCACTTTTGCATATCCACATTGCCAGCATCACTACTGTTAATGCTTTGGGCTATTAAGTAAAATAAGGGTTGCTGTGTAGTTTCTGTCCTCTGATTGGACCCAGGCTCATATAGAGTTTGGATAAAGATTTGCTCTGATTCTACTTCTTTTCTCTTTTTACCATGAATTCTGTTCATTTGCATAGAACATGCATTTTCCAGTACTGTCAGGCATGCCACAAGGTAGGTGATTCTGTCCTTGGGTGTGAATAGGGTAGGGGTAATATCATAGTTACTATGACTGACTGGAGTAGGAAAAGTCACAAAGCTAACTAGGCTTCCATGTTGACCTTTGGCCTCCAACTTGTCTTAATCTATAATAAAAATGATATTTGAGCTTCATTTGTCTTCAATTCTTTGTCATATATCTCAGTTGGGTAGTAATCCATGGGTGGAGAAGGGTAAAATATATTCAACCTCTTCAGAAACCACAGTACCTGATACATAACACAAAACATCTCAGACTCTCATCTGTCAGTTCTTCTGTATGGTAACTTCCTTAACTTTCTTTCTGTGGAGAAGAAAAATCTAGACTTACCACATGATTTGGAAGGATGAGTGAAAAATCCTCTTCCACATTTTCTAGACTATGCTGCTTGAATACTTGACTCAAGAGGGTACAAACCATTGTAGAAATCCCTGTTAGGTACTAGGGGGAGAAAAGGAAGAGTTGAAATTTTAAGAGAAGTGAGAGTGATATGTGGCATTTCCTGCTATGTTCAAGCTCCCATTCCAGTTGTCACGTCCACCTTCTTTTCTCTGAGCCTCCTTAGAAAGTGTCCTCAGTTGAAGAAACTAGTGAAAATATGAACTCCACTGTAAGTTGAATTTTCAGAACCTTTCAGTAAAGCCTCAAGTCAGAAAGTCCAATTAATTGCTTCACCTATGTGTATCTTTACCCCCATTTCCATTCACTATTGTTATTCCTAGAACTTATGTTGGCTGTAGAAATTCTGCAAACATAGTGAACCCTATTTTCTAATAAATAAGTATTGGGCAGCACTGTGGTATGTGAGAGTATGAACCCACTGTTGGGAAAGGTAGTATGTACGCACTCTCTTGAGTCGTACATGGCTATAGACACATGGCTTTGGGCCTGGAGTCTTACCAAGATACAAAGAACCCACATAGCCTGTGCTGGATTTACTGCCTTGGATGGGAATGCCTTCCTCTACCGAAGGCCCGGTATATACACCTTTGTTCTGGTGAAGGGTATGTCACATACAGCATCCGGTCAGCCCCACTGCTACATCTGCATTGAAGTGGGGATAAAATCTGGTCCTTTTATGGCAGAAGAGGAGAGTTTGTCAATGGACAGTAGTGGTACCCCCCATGTCACACCCCTGATGAAAGGGGACTGAGGCACATTATCAAAGCTGATACTTGTTTCTTCTCTAAGTAAAGCATTGTTCCATCAGTGGTTGGCTAACTGGAACAATGTGTTTCCCCTTGGCAACCTCAGAACCAAGAGGCAGTAGGCAGAAGTGTTTACAGCCTTCTGGGATTGGTTAACTAGTGCAGTGTGCTGTGCTCCCTTAGGGTTGATAATCTGTGCATCATATTCTGCTTAACATCTATAAGATGGATTATCTATGCCTATCTCATTACTTCTTTGTACCTCAGATTTAACTGGGTTGTATTTCTCATGGATGGAAAAATGACTGACAGTAAGTAGCAATGAAATGAGTTGTCACCTTTATATAGCTTAATTTACAGAAGAATTTCGGTCTTCAATTCACCTCAGTGCCACTTAGGGAATTCATAATTTCATTCTCATTTCCTTCCAGCCCCTAATACATTCTATTCTAGGTTCTGTCTCTTATTATTTACTTATCTTAGGTACCTCATGTTAGTGAAATTAATGCTCTTTTCCATGAGCCTGAGCAACTCTTGGCATAATGCAAAGAGCCTGGGGTGGGAGATAGGGTCACTCTGGAAGGATTGATGAAGAAGGCACGGACATAGTTTAGGGAAAGAAGACACATCCCAAGTATTTACCCAATACTCTGGCTATTTCTTCCTCAGGGTGTTTTCTGTCCCAGGCCCATTATTTTGATATGTCTGGCATTTAGACTGAAGATGGACTTCATAGAGACCTTGGCTGATTTCTTCCTGTCTTGAGAGCTGAAAACATGACTCACTAGAGTTAAGAGTTAGGACAACGATGACAACCTGGAAAAGGAGGGCAATGGAGCAGAAGGCTTGTGTATGTAAATTCCAATTCCCCTGGGCAGGCAGAATGAGAGAGACTATGAAACTATAAAGCCCCAGTCCTCAATACTGAAAAGATGTGACTCAATTTTTTCCTTTTTTTTTTTTTGTTTGCTTTTTTAATTGTGATAACATACACATAAAATTTACTATTTTAAACACTTTTAAGAGTACAAGTTAGTAGTATTAGGCAAATTCACAATATTGTTAGTTATCACCATTATTCATTTCCACAACCTTTTTTTTTAAACAACTGGGTCTTTTACTGTTAAGTTGCCTGGGCGAGGCTTGAACCTGTGATCCTCCTGACTCAGCCTCCCAGAGTGCTGGGATTACATGCCTAGGCCACCATGTCCAGCTATGATTTACCTTATTCTACAGGACTTTTTCCAACTGCTATGATTGTAGGTAAGTAGCAGTGTCATTTTATCATCCTAAGCAGAAACTATACCCATTAAACAATTCCATTCTCACCTCTAGTCTCTGGTATACTCTTAGAAGTTGCTAATTCTAGGTAGTTCATGTTAGTGAAATCATACAATATTTGCCCTTCAGTTTGTGGTTTAATTTAAAATTCACTTAATGTTTCCAAGGTTCATCCATGTTGTAGAATGTATTAAAACATTATTCCTTTTAAAGGTAGAATAATCCATTGTGCATGAAGTCATCAAAATGTATGGTGGATGTTTAAAAAATTTAAAAAATTATTAAAGTAACAGACACAAAGCCATTAATCACCTTCAGAGTACTCCCTCTCACTTTGAAAATAGTTATCCCATCATTCTTGCCACTTTCTGGAGCAGTTCTGGAGATCCTCTTTTGTTAATGTCTTTATGAGGTAAGATAAATACAGTGAATGCAGCTCAGCTGCTCAGTGCCATCCAGTGGAAAGGCATATATATACATATATGCTTATATCTCCCCATACCCATATTTTTGTTTTCTTTAGTAGCATTTTATTTGTTCATTTTTTTATTAATACACATTTGCAGTACATAATGTTTACATTCCTTGTGTGGAACTGGTACATGTACATAAGATATTTTAATTCCTTTTTTCTCCCCTGCCTCCTTCTCCCTCCATCTTTATTTATTTATTTATTGGTCTTTTTGAGACAAGGTCTCACTATGCAGTTCAGTTTGGCCTTGAGCTCACTTTGTAGCCCAGGCTGGCCTCGAATTCACAATGATCCTCCTGCCTCAGCCTCCTGAGTGCTGGCATTACAGGCATGTGCCACCATACCCAGCTTCCCTCCATCTTTTGATCCCCATCCTATCTGAGAAATAGGTCTCCCTGCTTCTATCATCTATAGCTGCATCCTGCATAGCTCCTGAAGTTCCTGGATGGGAAGGATGGTGAGAGGATGGAGAAATAAAGGTAAGAGACGGAAAGCTGAGGTCAGGTGGAGCCCTCTCTCCAAATGAGAGGAAAAGAATTACTCAACCACCATAGTATGTTTATTTATACATTTGGAAGGTTGTGTCACGTGACACACTTTTTGCCTAGCAACCCATTGCTTGGATCATTTCAGGGTTTGATGTTCTCTGGAATGAAGCAGCTTGTTCACATGGCTTTCCTCCACCACTCTTTGTTCTTGGGCTAGGCTTGCCTTGCCCCCTGCATCTGTGATCAGTTTCCAGCTTCAGCTACTTCCTACAATCTTTTATTTTGCTCTTTATTTAAACTTTGGGTTTCTCATATAGGAGAAATCATACAGTACTTAAGCTTCTGTGTTTGATTTACTTGGTAACATTAATGGTCTCAAGGTGTGTCCATTTTCCTATGAATGACTGTAAGTACCACATTTTCTTTATCAATTCATATGTTAATGGACTATAGGCTACTTCCAAGATTTAGCTATTATGAATTGTGCTGCTGAAAACATGGGTGTGCATATATCACTGTAATATGATGTCTTTAAATTTTAGGGGAAGATCCCTAGAAGAGGGATAACTGGGTCAAAAGGAATTTCTATTTTTAGTTTTTTACAGAATCTCCATATTGATTTCCATAATGCTGGTACTAGTTTTCATTCCCCCCAACCATGTAGAAGAGTTCCTCTTTCTCCACAGCCTCACTAGCATTTGTTATTGGATTTCTTGATGTTGGCCTTTCTTTCTGGGAAAGATGGACTCTCAGTGTTGTTTTAACTTGGAATTCTCTCATGGTCAGCAATGTTGAGCATTTCTTCATGTATTTACTGGCCATTTGTACACCTCTTTTGTGAAGTGTCTATACATTTCATTTGCCCATATTTCTGAGTGAGACTCATGTTGGAGGGGTCTAATTTTTTTTTAGTTCTTTATATATTCTAGATAGTAGTCCTCTGTCTGAAGAATAGCTTGTAAATTTTTTCCCATTCTTTAGGTCTTTTTCACTCAGTTGGTTATTTATTTTTCTGTTCAGAAGCCTTTTGTTCTGTTGTTTTTTGTTTTTTTCCCATACCACGAATTGAACTCACGACCTTGCACTTGCCAGGCAGGCACTGTGCTACTGAGCTAAATCCCCAGCCCCTCAGAAGCTTCTTAATTTGATATGATTACATTTGTTGATTCTTTATATGACTTCTTATGCAACTGAGGACTTTTCCTGAACACCAGGACTTTTCTATTCAGAAAGTTCTTGCCTACACTTACAGCTTCAAGAGCTTTACCTATTTTATCTTCTAGCAGATTGTTTCTATTTTAACAGTTCTTTGGTCTATTTTGATTTTAATTTAGTGCATGGTGAGAGATATGGGTCTAGATTCAGTCATCTTCATATAGATTAGCCAGTTTTCCAACCATTTATTATAGAGACTATCTTTCATCTAGTTTATGTTTTTAACCCTTTTGTCAAAGCACTTTTGTCAAAGATTTTGTCAAAGATAGTTAAATGTATGATTCCTCCCTCTTTGGTCTTGCTTCTGCTATTCTGAGTCTTTTCTCACTCCACATGAATTTTTTT